AGGGAGCTATTATAGGTTAGAAGAGGAAATATAACCTAGAGAAATGTACAGAGCCCTACAAGAATGAGCCCAACTAACAATTTGAGCAACAGTGTAAGGCTACCATAAATTCCCTTCACTGGCAATGAGATCAATGACTAACTTATCCACCATCATGGAGCCCTCATCTAGTAGCTGATGGAAACAGAAGCATACATGCACAACTAAACACTGGAATCCAGATGCAGAGAGGGAGGACAAGATCACACTGCACAAACACATATATACAACTGACCTTAACAAGAAGGAGCTAATGGGCTCCAGACTTATAGTTGGGAATCCAACATGGGACTGACACAGACCCCTGAACATGGGTCTCAGCTAAAAGGCCTGTGGAGTCTAACGGTTTTCAGTGAGTGGGACTAGGAAGTATCCCTGTTGCAAAAAGGACATTGGGGGAAAATCCCCATGGAGGGATACTCCATTAACCTTGAGACAGGAGAGACATTTTAGTGTCTACTTAAAATGACTTGAAGGATTTAGATGACCCCTCCTGGAAGGCGTCCCCTACGTGTATAGTGTTGGTTGGATGGGAGGAGAGAGTGGCTGGGGGCCCGGGAAGTTGGGAGGGGAAGAAGGAGGGTTGGAGTAAGTTGGAGGGAACTGGTTTGATAAGTATAATAAAAAATTTTACAAATTAAAAACATTAAAAAGATACCAATGTAATTTTCAAAAAACAAAGTTAACATACTTTAATAATTTATAATTTTTACCTCTATTGACTTTGAAATATCACACCTCCACAGAGAGAACATCACTTCCAGCACAAGTTATAATAGGTCTTAATAATAAAAACTCACAGTAATCTAACAGGGAGAGGAAGGTGAAAACTGAAGGATCAGAGATCAGAGCATCTGGCTACTAGAGTTGGTATCTCTACCTATTCTCAGACAAGCGATGTGTTCCTGTCCTCACACTGCCTCCTCAGATTGACTGCTATCGCTTTGATCCCTCAGACTAACTTCTCAATCAAAATCATCTCACTGCATGCTCTTCTGTCTCTACCTTATCTTCCTCTCTCTGTCCACCCATGTCACTCCTATCTCCAAATCCCTGCTGCTGGGATTAAAGGCCTGATTCCCATGTCCTGGGACCACCTTAGTGTGAGCTGTTTTTCTTTTAGACAGATTTAGGATGTGTGTGTGTAACTACTGATTTAATGTGTGTGGATAACTAGTGACCTAGTGTTGGTAGCTAACTAGTGACTTAGGTGTGTATTTGACTAAATACATAGAAATACATAGGTGAATGGCTAACTACTATCTCAGTGTGTGTGTCGCTGACTATTTTCTTGATGTTTGTGACTAGCTAGTAAATTAGATTTGTGGCTGACTAGTGACTTAGTATGGGTGGGTAAGTAGTGATATATTGTGTGTAACTAACTAGAGACATAGAGACTGTGGCTAACTAGTAACCTAGCTTTGTGGCTAACTAGTGACTTAGGCAATGTGGTTAATTACTGCTTAGGCATGTAGCTAAATAGTAACTTAGGTGTATGATTAACTACTGTCTTAGTGTGTGTGGCTAAGTACTGCTTTATTTGTGTGATGGACTTGTGGCTTAGTTTTTGTGGCTAACTAGTGACAAAGGTGTGGGGATGACTATTGATTTAGGTGTTTGTCTAACTAGTGACCTCATATGTGTGGGTAAAAAGTGAGTTAAGTATGTGGCTAACAAGTGGCATGGTGTGTGTGGGTACTAGTGAGCTAGTATGTGTTGCTAACTAGTGGGTTAGTTTGTGGCTAACTAGTGGCTTACACTTAACTACATGTGTAGCTAAATAGTGACTCTGCTTAGTAATCTGATTGTTAGGAACTAGCAGCCATTTGACCCCCCCCACCCTGATGATGGGCAGGACCCTCATGGCCATGTCATTGCTACATCAGCTTTACCTGAAGGCTCAAGGTTTACCTGGCTGCCAGAGGACTCAGTTACACATGTGCAAGCCTCCCCTTTTAAAGCAAGTGCCCCACACCCCCCTCTTTCTCTCCTGCTTTCAGTTGGCCACCAGCTACCCCCTCTTTCTCTCCCTTCCCTCAACAATCTCCATGTGGGCGCTGAGTCTCGCGTTTGTGTTTCTTAGGCATTAGCTGCACAGCAAAAGAACAACATTGGTGCCGAAACCCAGGAAGACTCTACGTGAGGGTCACTGACAGCTGTCTGCTGGTGGGCGGCCAGCCAGAAACACTCAGGATCTTGTTTCAGATACCAGCGTTCCACCACCATCCCCCCCCCCCGTTCACTGGAAATACCACCCCACACAGGCTTCAATTAGGTAAGGTACCCTTTTACATTTTAACCCAATTCCTTAAGGTCAGGTACATTCCATGGGTAGAAGACATACAGCCCAGTGTGGTATATTGGCTCTGCTCTCAGACTGCTGAGTATTTCCGGCCTCTGTTGGTCCTGGCAACGTTTTCAGGCTAACGAGCTTCGAATAAAGCTCTACCATTCTTGTGAATCGTGTGGCCACACTCTTGGGCTGATGAGTTCCAAGACTGCATGGTCACTTTCACTCCACCCATGGGGAATAAACCGACCAAGGAAATATCCCCCACCACTCCACTGGGATGCCTGATAGAAAATTTAAAACCCTTTCACTTAATGCCACTTGTAAAGTCACCCAGACTTATTTACCTTTGTACTGAAAAGCAGCCTAGATATCCCCTAGAAAATAATTCAAATTGGCCATGTAACGGCTCTCTAGATCCCGATATTTTATGGGATCTTTCAAATTACTGCCAGGGAACAAATAGGTGGAAGGTGTTTTTTTTTTTATATCTCTGCTAAACAATTTCTTTCCCTAAACTTGTTTCGGTTCTCTTCCCGGCACGCTCAAATTCTCCTGCCTGCCCCAGCTGCAACCTGTCTCAGCATGGTGGGCTGGGCTGAGGCAGCATCTGCTCAAGACAAAATTACATCTCAAAACTTTACGATTTCTTTCAGCTGTTGGGAATATGTTTATGGCAGCCACCATCTTGACCATGTGGCCTAGCTTTACCCACCATGGTTCTTCTTTCTGCTACATCAGCCATCTAGGCAGAAAGAGTCTAGCCAGCTTCTGCCACCAACAGAACCTGTAAGTCATTTACCGTTTGCCTTTTATTCTTTGTAATATCTTTTTTCTCTGACTATGTTATACATAGCTTCACACTCTTGTCCTTCTCAATTTACCCAGTCCTGAATAATATATCTGTACATTCGATTTCAACTTAACTTTATGTAAATGTAAGCTAACTTCATACAACTTAAATTCACTGTTCTAATTCTCAAATATTTCTAAATTACTATGTGCCTTTAAATGGTGGAATTTCAGGACTGAAAAACAGGATGCGGCACCACAGGAAGCTGGGAAATGGAGTCCTGGAGCCTCAGAGACCAGAAGAAGTTTAGGAACTAAAAAGATCGAAACAAGCCCAGCACATGCTGGGAACTGTAGTTAGGGGCCTTGAAGTCCAGAAGAGAATGTCAAGGGGAGAAAAGAAAGAAGCAGCCACACAGCATGCTGGGAAGTGCAGTTCTGGACCCCAAAGTTTTTAACCGGAAGTCCATTCATTGAAAAGCGGACACAAATCATGCTGGGAAATATAGTCCTTGGCTTCCAAAGATGAAAATAAGAAGTCCCTGGGCAGGGAAGCAGGAAGTGGCCACAGAGAATGCTGGGAAATGGAGTCCTGGGCCTCCAAAAACTACAAACTGGAAGTTTCATTGCTGAAAAACAGAAAGCCACCGCAGAGCATGTTGGGAACTACAGTCCCTGGCCGGTACAGATGAAAACCGGAAATCCCTGGGCATAAAGACAGGAATCGACCGCACAGGATGCTAGGAAATGCAGTCCTGGACATGAACATCCAAACCCAGAAGTCTCTGTGCAGCGAAGCAGTAAGCGGCCGCATAGGATGCTGGGAAATGCAGTCCCAGCCACAGCAGTTACAAAAGTTCCTGATGGCCTTGGCTCAAGTCAGCCTTGGCTGCGATCTGCGAGCAGAAGTCATGCCCCACCCTTGATGATTGACCTGAGTCTCTACTGCCAGGTTTCCCTTGCCAGGAAATCCAGCCCTCGGCTTACAGCCTGCCCCTCTACCTTTATAAAGATAGCTGACAGGTCCCCGCCCAGTCAGCCTGTAGATCACACCCTCAGCAGACCTCATCGCCCAGAGGCAGGAAGTGGGGTCTGTAGTGATTGACAGCTAGAGGGGCAGGGTATGTGGTGACTGACATTACAAGGGCCTGGAGGGGTGAGCTCTGTGATGTCACAGGGGCCACACTCATCATCCTCAGTCCTCAGGGTTTTTACTCTCATAACCTGCTCACCATGGCCACCGCCCTCTGGTCCCAGCATTGCTGCTTAGTAACCAAAGAGTTTGGTAGGAGACTCCTGCCATGCCCAGCTGGGCGTGGAGATGGTGAGGGTAGGGAAGGAGGGCACTTCCTGCTCACAGTCACAATTTCCTGTGATGTCACTGCCTGGACCAAGTCCTGTCTGCACCATAGGTAATACCCAGACCCCGGCCCTGCCCTCGGGGACCCTAGGAGAGAAAGTGGGGAAGGGCCTGGTGTGGTTGAGGGCAGGGCCTGGAGAGGGTCACTGATTGTGACCTTGGACACTGTGACCTCGGGGTAGGGGACAGGTGAGCTAGGGTAGTGCTGAAGGGGTGGGGCCTGATGCTGAGCAGCAAAAACCTGCCACTCATTTATATATGCAAATGAGGCTACTAAACTGTTATGTAAAGGATGCACTAGTAATTTTGATTATGCAAATAAGCACAGTGCCTGAAAATCTGGAAGTCTGATTGGGGCTTCACATTTGAGTATGTAAATGAGCAAACCCCAGTTTCGGAAATACACTTTAATATGCAAATTTGTGCTGCTTTGCATGCTTTTGCTATGCAAATGAATGCAAGTATTCCCATCTGTTTGGGACTTTGACCTGCAAATACATGCAGGTTAGGTCATTTGGAGGTGTGGCCATGCAAATTAACCCCAGCAGTTTCTGTACTTGATGTCTTCTGAGTCTCCAGGCAGCTCTTGAATATGCAAATCAGAGTGCGGGCAGGGGGTGGGGCCTCCCCTGACCCTGCTCCTGATGTCAAATGTCCATCACAGGCATCTGATGGTGAAGCTGCTCATGCAGGACCCAGTGGGGGCAAGGGCAGGGCCCATGAGATGGTGAGGGCGGGGCATCAGGAGGGGCAGGGCCACAGGGGCGGGTTTAGGTGTACTCCCCTAGGTGGGCCTGTCCCCTAACCCTGCCTCCACACACCTCACCCCATGTCCTGTGTCCTAGCACTGGGAAGTGATGCACCTGAGGGAAGCTTGCTCTGTCAATCAAACACAATGCACCAAGGGCATCATGGGAAATGGGTCACTGCTTCACAAACTCACCAGAAGTCCCGCCCCTTCAGTAACTCTCTCACCAGAATACCCGCCCGGACAGTCACTCACATACTCATTCTCCATCTACAATCCTCATTATTGGGGTGTGGCCGGATGCTGGCTGACAGGGACATGTGGTCCCACATCCGGGAAGATGGCAGCCAGCTCACGCATGCAGCGGTTGAGTGGAAACCCCACGGTATTGAAGAAATCCCCTTCCACGCGCTCTGCTAGGGCACCGCCTCGCGCCTGAAGCCCATAGGCGCCAGCCTTGTCCCTGGGTGCAAGGCAGGGACGAAGTCACACCAGGTGCCATGCTCAGCCACACCCACGCCCGCCGGGGACAACTCTTCCTTTTCAGGCCTCACTTCCAGGTTTCCTGGCCCCACCCACCCCACCCCGCACCCACTCACAGAGGCTCCCTGCTCTCCACGTATTGGCAGAGCAGTGGCTCTGATAGCCGCGAGAATGTCACATGGGTCTCTTCGTGGAACAGTGACAATTCCACTTCTGCTTCTGCGTCCCCTTCCGCCTCTGGGGCCTCTGGGCATGTGGAACTCGGCTCCTGAAGCTGCCTCTGCCACAGTGGCCTCAAGATGGCCACACCGGTGATGACACTGTGCTGCTGGCCACTCAGCCTGGGCGGGGCCAGGGAAGGCGGGACAGGGCGTGGTTGGCAAGGGGCAGGGCTGGGGTGGGCAGAGGCTGGAGCTCCATGAAGAGGCCCCGCCCACTATGCCCTGGGGGGGGTCTACCCCGCCCCTTAAGGCCCCGCCCACCTGTGCAGCATCCTGTAGGCATCGTCCTTGTCCTTTGGCTTCTCCAGGATGACGCCATCCATGGCCTACAGTGGGTGGGGCCAGACGCCAAGGGGCCGGGTCAGTGAGGGGCAGGGCCTCACTCACCAGGACGGTATAGGCTCCAATAATGACATCAGGCGGGTGCAGGTCCTAAAGGGCAGAGGGCGGGGCAGGCTTATGGGCGGGGCCTCGAAAGGAAGGCGTGTGGCCTACCACCTGACCAGAAGGGATGGGGTCGTCCTCACCCTGTGCAGCCACGATGCCACCTCCAGCACCTTCAGCTTCGCTGTCTCCTGGGCATATTCGGGCGGAGCCGGAAACCCCGCCTTCTCCAGGGACTCCTGGAAGTGGGAGGGTAGGACCTCGAACTGAGTGGTTGAGTGAATGACTGAATGAATGACTGAATGAATGAATGACGGGTATTTGATTGACAGCTGTGTCCCCTATAGTTCACGCCTGTAACTCCTCTGACATCACCGCTCCCGTGACCCCGCCCATCCCCTGGGAACCTCTCTAAGTGATTAATTCCTGGTCAATGCTCCCACTCAGAAGTCCCGCCCTGCTGTACCATGTTGCCGGAAGTCCCACCCCAGTTTCCCCGGCAACAGGAACCCTGCTGCCAACCGTGGCATAAACAGGGAAACAGCGAAAACCAGAGGGGTGCACGGACCTAGGGTTGCGATCTCTGTTTCTGCCCTGTTCGCCGCACCCGGAAGTCCCACCTACCGCCTTGATGAGTGACAGGGAATATGCTCTCTGCTGCCTCTTGTGCCGTTTCTGACCTGTTCACTTGGACCTGGAAGTCCAGTCCCTTAAGGCGTTTCCTATCGGGCCCGCAATGTCCGATGCGATCAATTCCCTTCCTGGGCCGAAAGCGGATCCGATTTAATCGCTGCCCGGTGGGCAGGGAATCGCATGCTGCACCATCCGTAAGCGGAAGTAATGTGCCGGAAGCAGAACTCAGGCTGCAGCGCACTCCGTCGTGTTTACTTCATGGGTGGAACTCAAGTTGTGCATCTCTTCGTTGCAACCTTTCCTGGGGACCATTTTGTGTGACAGGCCGGAAGCTCAAGTCAGTGACTGGAAGCCTGACGTCCTTGGTTCACAAGCGGAAATCGTGTGTCAGTTTGGCCGGGTGGAACTAGAAGCATGTTTTCCATGTGTGTCTTCCGGGGGACACTGACAGCCACGAACCGGAAGCTTTAGTTCGTGACCGGAAGGCGGAAGTCCTGAGATCGCAGCCGCTTGTCAGCGGTGCAGGGGACCGTCCCGGAACCGTGTGTTCCAAAGGAGTTCCTGGGGACAGAGTTGTGAGAGGTGCTCAATGTCTGTAACCTCTGTTCCAGTCACTCTAGGAGGTCTCTCCCCCGGCAGAGCCTCAGTAATGACGGATAAACATCAGGCAGGCGGGCACTCTGGTTGCTCCAGCGGGATAGATGGGTCCAGTATTTTCAAAGCAGGTCCAAGAAATTTTCAGGAGGTGGAGGTGTTTTTTTGACCCGCTCTCTGTCCCAGTGCTCAACCAGACCAGTGGAGCAGTGGGCACAGTAGGACACAGGGTGGGGAAAGTGCGGGTTCTGGGTGGGGTGCTTTGTAGATCAGAGTAATAGAACTTTACTCTCTAGAGATAAGATATAGGGCGTGAAAGACAAAAAAGTAAAGTTAGAGAAATGCCCCATTTTAAATGAAGGACAGACTAAACTGGAAAGTTAACCCCTAGCAATATCTGTTCCTTGGAATCTGCTAACTTACCCTCGCAAGGCCCTGAGAAAACAAGATACCCAGAATTCAGTCTGTCCCTCCGTTCTTGTGAGTCAGCAGGTGTTGAATAGGGTCTTTAAGAAACAAATAGATAACTGCACCTCCGGTTTGCTCAGACAAGATTAATTAGCACACCCTGAGGCCCTAAGGTCTGTTGACCCTAATAGGGAGACCAGCTAAAAGGGTCATGTACTCAATGGACAGAGGGTCCCAACCCTCCCTAAGCATGGGGTATTTGCCTTTAAAAACACCTGTGCCGGGGGGAGGGGTGGAGGGAGGAGATGGCTTCTTCTCACTAGTCTGTATGCTGGAGGGGCCCCTTTGCACAAATGTTTCCTGTTCATTAAAGCCTCTTGCATGTTGCAGCAACTGGACTGGACATTGAGTTCTTGGGGATACCGATGGAAACTGGGAGACTCCTCATTCTGAGGGTCTTACAAAGCTTGAATTCTTGAATAATGCAGATTGTTTAAAACTGCTCACTGAGTAAGATGTGCTGGCTAACAGTAGTGGTCATACACAAAAATCTTCCTAGCTCCATTCCTCTCTAAATTTTCAACTTTCCATGAAGAATACTCTTTTTATAATTTTGTGTTTGTTAAGTGGTTTTTCTGAGGTTCAGGAATAAAACTCCTACAGTTATAGAGCAATGATCAAGCTTTCTGATGAGAGAAAGACAAATTATCAACTTTTTGATCTGCTTCCTGCTTTTATTTCCTTACAGTTGGAAGTTCCTGTACAACCAGGCCAATAACACCTCATGCTACAGAGTGGGTGATGTGCCCCCATGGGTACCAAAACTCGATGACCATGTCAGGAGTGTCTTCGTCTTGACAGAAACAAACACACTGGAGGTGTTTTGCAACTGCTGCCATTTTTACTTTAGAGTATTGGGTTTTTATACAGAAATTACAAGGAACATATCTTTGGTCACAATTTACAGACATATTATAAAATGCCAGTAATTCCTTTGAAGCATGAGATAAAAAAAAAAAAAAAAAAAAAAAAAAAAACACTTATTTTCACCTGCCTGTGGTCAGTGTACCAGAGATTTGGTTTACTGAGTTAGAGAAAAGTCATTGTCTCTTAGCAGTAAACTGTTAAAAGCATTGATAAGAACTCTTGCATTTACTAAGTTTAGAGGATAGTCATAAACTTTTAACAGTATTTTTCTGTCTTTTTTATTATTTATTTTTTATAACCAAGTCCATGTAAATGAAAACAAACATCTATAGACAATATTTGGGAATTTGGGCGTCGTTCTTTCCAAACCACTTCCTGCTGGTAAGGGGCGCTCTCATGGGGGATTCTAAGAAGATGCTGAAATCCTGGCTGTATTCTGCAAGGCTGCTTTTTCCAGCTGTTTTGAATGTAGGCTCACTTGGTACTCTGTTTCAGGCGGTCTGGCTTGATCAAACCACATTAGTATGGAAGAAATCCACAGCTTTTCGTTTTCTGTGGAAAAAAAATAGAATAGATATCCTTTTCCCCAGTAACTTGTCCTTGAACTTAATGTTTTGAGTCAAAGCATATTTTTTTTTGTAGTTTATTATTATACATGTCGATCCCAGTTCCCTCTCCCTTCCTTCCTCCTTCCCTCCCTCCCTCCGAATCTTAAGGTTTCTGTGCAGTGACATCTAATGAAATCTCGATCTCCAACTTGGAAGTAATGTGAAACTTCCACGTCTCCCACCACGTAGGTCTCTCAGGGCTGCTTTCTTGCTCACTGTCTCACCCACTGGAGCACCTTAAGCCTAGCAAACAGAGGCTTAAGAAAACAGCACATCAGCACTATGTACAGAGGTAATTTCCACCAGTGGAGGGAGCCCACCAAAGAGCCATTTACAGGGGCTCAGCCCAAACGGTCCAGGGGTGTTTTTAAACCTGAAAAGCACAAAGGGTAGGAGAGCTATCTGATCATTAACGCCAGTCTCCACAGTCAATTTAGTGAAGGTCTCCTCAATGGTTTTATTTATACTTTCTACATGAATTGTTGGTTTTGTATGCACAATGTAATTTTAATCAATCCCCAGTATCTTGGCCAGTGATTTACTTACCTGGGTCACAAAACCTGGACCATTGTCTGATTTTACTACCTTAGGTATTTTGAATCTTCAGAAAATTTTCTTCAGTAATTTTTTTTAGCCACATGGTTGAGACAGTCCCATGCACATGAACAGTTGAAAAAGCATACCTGTTGCCTGTTAATGTTTATGGACTTCTCTTCGTCTAGCAGTACCACCGCCCCAGTCCTTTCTTTACCTTTTATAATGTAACTGATCCTGGCAGTGAACTGGTCATCATCTCCCCAGCCAGCAGGATGTCGTTAAGATCTTTGCAAACTCCAGTCTCTTTAACCAACAGTTGATGGCAGTCATGAGTCACTGGTTCACCAGTCTCCACAGGCAGAAGAGTGGTGGGATGAGGCTGGCTGGTGGAGCGAACACAATCAGCTCAGTCTCTCAGTGAGAAGCAGGTTTTGGTGGTGGGTCCCTCGGGCGTTGGTCATCATCAGTTGGTGGCTGCCAGACAATGCTCTCCAATGCATGGGGGCTATTATTGTTGCTTTATGCCCCAAAGTCAACTTGTCAGCAGTGATATCTTTTTGATAGACAGGCCCTCCCCTTGCTACAGGATCAAGCTTCTTTGACAGATAAGCAACTGGTCTGTCCCACGGCCCTAGGGATTTGGTTAAAACTCCCCAGGCGACCCCCTTATGCTCATCCACATAAAGGGTAAAAGGTTAGTTATATCAAAAGGCTTAGAGCCAATGCTTTCAGCTGGGCCTTTTTAATGGCATCAAATGCCTCCTGGTGCTCTGGGGTCCAGGAGAATTTTTTCCTTAGTCAGCCTGCAAAACCCAGATGTCCCCAGAAATTCTCCTACTTGTCTGGCCATCGTTGGGGAATTTTAAACCCTTGGGACAGTCAGCTCCAGATGAGCTGCCTAGTTCTGCACGTGTCAGGGTCCTTCCATTCAATGGCAAAAAGCAGTTGGCTGGTGGGATGTAACCTCGAACGAGTGGGGTACCCGGCCCACGCCGAGGTCCACTGTTCTTCGGGTAGTCCATGAATTACCTTGGGCTTTGGGAGGGGTGCCAAACCCCGTTTCCCTTTAATTTTATCCGTTCTTAGGGCTAGGACCTTCGATACCTTGTCTTCTTGGGACAGTCATTTGCCAAGTGTCCTTTTTCTTTACAATATGCACACTGTTCCTCCTTGTCAAGTGG